TTTCATTTCAAGTTTTATTGCTGTCTGTGGCTCTCTTAAGGAGATTCACCCTTTCTATTTGTCCTGTTTACCATTATAATTGAAAGTGAAAGAAAATCCCAAATTTTGGGTTGTCCCCAGAAAAATTATTTAGGGGAAATCTTTCAATGGGGACTCTAGTTCTGGTGCCATGGGGGCCCCAAGAGATTTCCTTAATTTGCAGGAATTTCCTCTCACTTCTTGTTTGGCTATTGGACAGGAAGTGGAGGGAAATCTCTGCAATGGGACACAGAAAAAGATCTGACGGGTTATAACCCTCTCTTGCTGTATCCAAAAAGATAAAAAAATGTTTTCATATAGTTCTACTTTAACTTGCTATTACAAAAATCAGTATTAGGTAAACAACACTAGCCATAGCATCAACAATAGATATACACTGTTGTGCTATACATTCAAGAGAGTAAGGAAAACTCCAAACACTAAAATAAAGTTGAGAAACTGAGTTATACAGAGACAAAAGTAAAAACATTAACGGAAAAGAAGGGCCAAAGCTCTTTTGACCCTCTTTCTCCTGGGAATCACAGGAGTACACTTTGTTCTGCACTCATTTGGCCTTTTTCAGTTGACAGTAGGCTAAATCCTGCTGTTGGCTGACGTCACAGGGTTAGTCCAACTTCTGTAGAGATTCTGACTTTAATGTCAAGATCCACCCAATTGCCTCACCGGCAACTGGCTCAGCCTCTCAGCATGCCTCTGAGAGCCTGAGCGAGCTGCTCCCACCCCATCCACAGCCAGGCGCTCCAGTGAGAGCTGCTGGGGCAGAGCAGAGAGCCGGTGACTGACAGTCACCGGCTCTCTGCTCGCCAAAGACAGAGAACTGATCAGTTATGCATCCCCCTAGGTGAGTGTGAATGTTTGTTTTTTTAGAATCCCTAACTTTTCTTTTAACGTATAATTGCATCACTGATTTTCTTTTTAGTATATAATTTTCACCTATGTAAATGTTAATTCACTTTCTTTGAATGCTTTTTTTTGTAGATAAATACTTCAACTATTCCTCTTCTCTTTCCAGATATTGACTAAAATCAAGACTTGCCCACCCAGGATTGTTTTCTCTTTCATTTGACCTGTAAACCATGTGACCACACAATGCTCTCTAATTCCACTCTAGTATCATAGAACTTTTCTATAACTGTAAATCAGAGTTCACACATTTTGCAGTTTCTGAAATATGATGATCTATGGCAGGCCTTGAAATTTCCACTCGCCTGCTCGCATTTCGTGAGTGGAAATAACATGGGGGCGAGGGCCAGATCGATCAAACAGCTGATGGATATGGAGTGGGGTGCCGGCACCAGAGGCGGAATAAGCTTTCAGACATTTAGGCACTCACGCACTACCCAAGGGCCCAGAGTCCTTAGGAGGTCCTATGACAGGCTCCTGAGAGGATGGGGAGGGCCGCAGGGTGGATTGTGCATGCATGCTCCGAGTCCAGTCCGGTGAGAGGAAAGAGAGACTAACAGAGCCCAAGGAGGATACTTCACAGACTGGTGAGAACTCAGCATGTAACAGTGGGATGAAAGGGGAGAACTGTCTGTGACCGGTGTGCTGAGAAAACGGAGTGTGACAGGCTGAGAGAGCCAAAGGGGAGACGTGTGTGTGTCTGTCTGTGTGTGCTTGTCTGTGTGTATGTGTTTATGTGTGTGCGTGTCTGTATGTATGTGTGTGTGTGTGTGTGTCTGTATGTATGTGTGTGTGTGTGTGTGTGTATGTATGTATGTGTGTGTGTATGTACAGTATGTGTGTGTATGTGATGGTGGTGGGGGCTCTGTATTCACTTTATGTAGTAGGGAGGCCCTGTGTGTGTTCTGGGGGGGGGCATTGTACCATAATGGAGACCATGTGTTCTAAGAGGGGGGATGTGTGCTCATTATAACCTCAAATTATGGGGGGATGGTGCCATAATTGTGAGCAGCAGAAATACCAATCACCCCCTTTTTTGCCCCCCTTCCCCCCCTATTTTTCTCTCACCCCCTTCTCTCTGTCTCTCAACCCCTTTCTTTTTTTGGCTATGGGGGGGGGGGGGGTGAAGGAGGGTATATATTTATTTCTGTAACTGTATTCTGCATAAAACATTTAGCAGTGTCAACTCCTCCTATCTATCCCAACGCTCCTTCAGCGTTACCTATAACGCTACCACCTCCCCCTCTCTGTTGGGGTCCCCCAAGGCTCTGTCCTCGGGCCCCTTCTCTTCTCCATCTACACCTCCTCCCTCGGCAAACTGATACACTCCCACAGCTTCAACTATCTCCTCTACGCCAATGACACGCAAATTTACCTCTCCACCCCTCGCCTCACCCCTTCAGTCTCCGCCCGTATCACTCACCTACTGAACGACATATCAGACTGGATGTCGCTCCGTTTCCTCAAATTGAACCTTTCCAAAACTGAGCTCCTGATTTTCCCCCCAGCCCGCGCCCCCCACCCTTTCCATCACGACCAACAATGCCACCATCAGTCCCACCCCGCAAGCCAAAGTCCTAGGTGTCACTCTAGACTCAAAGCTGTCCTTTCAACCCCATGTCCAATCGTTGGCAAACTCATGCAGACTCCACCTCCGCAACATCTCAAAAACACGTTAGTTCCTAACCCCAGACACTACTAAACAACTCATTCACTCTCTTATAATCTCACGTCTGGACTACTGCAGCTCCTTTCTCACCGGCCTACCTCATCACAGACTATCCCCGCTTCAGTCTATCCTGAACTCAGCGGCCAGACTCATCCACCTTACAAATCGCTCCGCTTCTGCAACCCCCCTCTGTCATTCCCTCCACTGGCTCCCGATTGCCCAACGCATTACATTCAAACTACTAACACTGACATACAAAGCCATTCATAACGATGCCCCAAACTACCTCACCGACCTGATACCCAAATACCACCCAACCCGTACTCTTCGCTCCTCACAAGACCTCCTACTTTCTAGCTCCCTGGTCTCCACCTCCCTCGCCTGACTGCAGGACTTCTCCAGGACTTCCCCCCATCCTCTGGAAAGCACTACCCCAATCCATCAGACTGTCACCTACCCTCCTCACCTTTAGGCGCACCCTGAAAACCCATCTCTTCAGGGAAGCCTACCCCGCCCTCACCTAACAGCCGATCTCCTCCGCTCCTCCTACCACTCCATCCCCCACAGGCGCTTCCTCCTGTACCACTTTCCCCTCCCTCCTAGATTGTAAGTTCGAAAGAGCAGGGCCCTTGACCCCCTCGTGTTTTGTTTTGTTACTGTATTGTCTCATGTTCTGTCCCCCACTATAATGTACAGCGCTGAGCAAACCTTTTAGCGCTATATAAATACTGTATAATAATAATGAGAGAATTTACGAGGGCATGTTTAGGGGAGGGATTAGGGATGTGGTAGGGTAGGGGATGGGTGGAGCAACTGGTGGTGAGTAACTCCTAAGGCCTGGCTAGTAGCTCAGGACTTGAAATTTTAAGCCCTGATCTATGGGACTTTAAATAGCAATTTGTCTACCTCATGCCAGATATTAAAATTTCACAAAGCAACAAGCAGTATATCCTGACACTAAAAAAGTATGAAGGTCAGTATAGCTAGGAAGAAACGTAACAGTTTATACCAATTTAAATGGCAATGGAAGACAGTGAAATTAATGTGGTAACAAATGAAGTAGATGAAAAATTAGCAAAGACTTGACTTTCTTACCAAGCATCAGTGCTGCCACATAAGATAAAATAATTCTTGTAGGATACATAACAAAGACATTTTAGTTATCTTACCTGTCATCAACTTTGGATCGTATTCATGGACTACAAGCAAGTAGCGGCTATCCTTATTTAGTAATGGTAATATAACACTGGCATAACTGTTCAAAAATACATGATAAAATGAAGTAAGTAAAAAATGCAAAGTCGTAACAAAAAAGAACGGAAAAACATATGTGCAAAAACTGTATTTTCTACCCTGTACACCCATCATGTTTCTGTATATATTGCATGTCTGTAGCAAATGTCAAAACGAATCAATACACAGGTTTTATAACTAGCATTGCTTTACAACCAATGCAGTGTGAATATTCTCTTGTAGCTTCCCAGAAGATGAACAAACAATCCAACCCCCCCTTTCCTCACTGCTGGACCCTAAGGCAGACCATAGACAATGCAATTAATTTTCCTGCAACCATAGGTTGCTCGATTCCCCCATTAGCACAGTCAGTGTTGATGGGGAAATCCCTCCCATGGAGTGGTTTGATTAGGGTTTGATTACTACACACAAGTTCTGCTGCTGGGACAGGGACAATAAGAGGAGATAGGGGGTGGTAATTAACCCCTGTACATTTGGATCTGAGAGCGATCCTGTGTTATCTCCTGTGTACAGAGGGAGAGAGAACAGCCCGCACCTCCTCATAGCTCTCTCCTCCTCCCTGTTGATATCTGTACTAATGTTGGCAACCCAGAAAGCTGTGTGGGCTGCCTGACTTGGCCTCCTTAGCAACCAATGACATTATCGGCTAGTAAGACGCAGGTGAGCATCCTGCACAGTTTTTGGGTTGCTGGGTTTCTGACTTTAATAAGATAGCAGAAGGGAGGAGGAGATTGCTGGTGCGGTCTGTTTACTGCAATGGTTAAAAAAGTGTTAGCTCATGTTCAGCTTCAATTTATTAGTCAAGTCCATCTAAATCTGCTAGTCTAACACTACCCTCTTCCAAGACTGACAATTCTGCTCTCCAAATGTGTCTGCTTTACTACTTTGCCCAGAATGCAGACACCCTGTTACTGGGCAGATCGCCAGGTGAAATAAAAGAAAAAAGGCCCCAAAATAAAACTAATGCATCAAAGGATTGGTAAGCTGCAATATATTGTGTTTTTGGTTTTGGGTTTTATGCCACTGTAAGTAAAAAAAAAAAAAATCAAAATGACCAGTAAGCAATGTGACTTGATTACCTACTGTACAAGAGATTACATTGTTTTCATAAAGAGAAGGCAAGAGAAATGCAATTTTATATAACATTTATAATTATTACTATTACAGACCGTTCCCTTTCACATGGGTTAACAGCGACCAGTGCGCCTCTGTCCCATATTCCATCAAACTGTCCAATGACTGAGCTGAGAAACACAAAATAAAATCATGGTAATCCACAGTTATTCATAATTATATCAGTTTTACACATATTTTACTGAAAATAATTTCTTGCTCGGCATTACATGATACTGAAGCACCACTATGTAAGCAGGGTAAGAACTGATGTTTATATTTCCTCTTGGCAGGAATGACAGTTCTTTGCCCTTTTGTCCTTACTTTAACAGAATTTTTAACATTTCTAAACTGTCGGCATGACATCTTGTAGCTCCAAGCAGAAAGCTCAGGAACACAATGGACTACACCAGCATGGTTCTGCTTCTGTGTTTGACTTGGTCAGAATAAAAGAGGAATAAAGGGGAACTGGCATGATCACCGAGTATTTTATGGTTCAATAATTTTTTTATGAGTTTTATGGTAACAATTATTATTATTATTATACAGGATTTATATAGCGCCAACAGTTTGCTCAGTGCTTTACAATACAATGGGAGACAATACAGCAACAAGACCGTTCAATACGTTCAAGAGGGATAGGAGGGCCCTGCCCCTCGGAGCTTACAATCTAGGAGACAAGACATGAAATGTAAATCGGAGCAATCCAAGACATGACAATGAAACATCCATAAACAACAGTGGTAGCACAGTAAATTAAGCATATAGAGCTATTGTCCGACATCAGACTGATCTACAACAAGCAACATGGAGGTATGAAAAACCTACAAATGTGCGGTGGCTCGAAAGGTAATAATTTAACATAGGTAGTGGTCAGGAAGTGGGAATTGCAGCTTGAAGGAAAAGAAAACAGTCAAGAATAACCAGGTATTTTATGTGAAATGTCTTAGAAATGAAATAAAAGGCAAGCTTTACAAGAAACAATATTAATACGCCAATGCCTACATTTATTGTGATATTCAGGGTTAACATGCACTTTAACAAGAATGAACAGGGAGAGATTCACTAAAACTGGTGCATTTAGAATCTGCTGCATCTGTGCATGGTAGCAGGGGCATATTTACCACGAGGCAAACAAGGTGTTTGACTTGGGCAGTTTTTTTCAGGGGGGCACGCCCTGTGCTCTGCCTCCAACCACTGGTTCCTGTGTGGTGACATCGCACCGGTGACCAGGAGCAGATGGCGCTGTGTATGAGGAGTCTCTGTGGGGCACCGGGGCTGGGCGGCAAGTGGAAGATATCCTAATGTGTGTGTTTTTTTATAACAGTGATGGATACATTGCACAGTAAGCTTAGTTAGATATAGACAGATGCAAATGGTCAGAGACCCTGGAGAGAAAAATATTTTTTTGACAATATAAATGAGGGATCAGGTAGGAAATATAAGCATCAGTTCTTACTTTTGCCCTGTTTACATAGTGATGCTGCAGTCATTTACACAATGGGTAAAAAGCTGCAGGGTTCAAAACCCATTTTCATCCAAACCTGTTTTTATTTTGTTCTGGATAAAGCAAGTTAGGGTCAGAGTCTCTGTTGGGTTTGTAATACTATTTCTGTCTCCATCTCATGATAGAAAGTAATGGGAAATCTCTCCAATATGGGCATAGACAAAAACCAAGAAACATTTTTACTAGAATGTTTTACTGTCTGTGTGTTCTTGTCACGGTGGTGACTGCATCCCCCCATATTTTCTGGTTCCAATAAGTTTTATGGTTATTAAAGTAAAAAAAAAGTTTACATACAAAATTGTCTCAATATATGTGTTTAAAGTTACAATGCATTATTGCACAAGATTTAAGGTGAATTTGAGCACAATGGAGAGCTATTGCAGTGCTTTACCACTGCAACAGCTCTCATTCAGCTGCGGTAAGTGTGTGATGCGGGATGTGTCCCTGCGGTGACAGACGTTTTACCATTCAGTAAAATGTCTGTCACTGCATATAATGTGAATTCACCCTTATGCTCTTGCAGGAGCTGTTTGTTAACATGATACAAATTTGCAGTCAATAATCATATGGTCACTAGGCATACACTTTAACTTAACGCTAGAACTAAAGTCACTGCAAAAGGGTACACATGTGTAAAAGGCATGTATAGTGGCTGCCAATTGTTGTATTAAATTGTCCAATATATATATATATATATAATATATATAAAATATATACAGTGAAGGAAATAAGTATTTGATTCCCTGCTGATTTTGAATCTTTGCCCACTCACAAAGAAATGATCAGTCTAAAAATCGAATGGTAGGTGTATTATAAAGCAACTGCACTAGCAGTGCACTTGAAGTGCACTTGCAGTTCACAGTATATTTACCTTTTGTAAATCAAACCCAAAGTGTTACTACAGTCTAATTTTTTTTTTTTTATAAAAATAAAAAACATGTTATCCTCAACTGCTTTGTGCAGTGCACAGAGCGGCTCAGATCCTCCTCTTCTCAGGTCCCCTGCTGGAGATCTTGGCTCCCCCTCTGCTTTGTGTGTCCCCATAGTAAGCTGTTTGTTATGGGGGCAAACAGTGTCTGCTCGCTCCCGAGCTGTACATGTATGGAGCTGTGCTCCATAGACTCACACAGTGGAACTTTGCCCCCCCCACCCTTCCTCCTCATTTGATTGACAACAGCAGGCTCCTGCTGCTGCAAGAGTGCTGTGTGAAGAAGAGAGGGGAGAAGAGATGCAGCCAGGCACAGTGCTGAATCTACTCTCCCCTCTCTCCCCCTTCACACAGGGAAGGGTAGGGGGGCAGAGAAATAAAAACCCTTTTTTCACCTTAATGCAAGGAATGCATTAGGGTAAAACATTTTTAGCTTTAATATCACTTTAAAGCGAAGTCCTGTGACTTTAAAATTAAGAAAACATTTTTGATAATGTTAAAATGCTATATGACAGTAAAAACAAATATATAATGGGAAAACGTAGTAAAATTCACACTTACTCAGAAATGTCATATATGTTACAGCAGTAAAGTGAAATGTTTCCAGACGTGCTCTGCAAATAAACAGAAACATCAATTAATGTATAGGAAATAGAGGCATCTAATATACACAGAAATGCACCAATAGAGAATTTCCCTTCATCATCCAACAGCCAGGAAACAGGAGTTTAGATACATCAACTGATGAACCCTCTACTAAAACCTAAACGGCCTATCGTATTATCTTCAAAATAGAAGCCGTAAAGGTTATGCAATAACATTTACTACAATACTTGCAATGTACACTGCGGAATAGGAATGGGATTATTTCTCAACAGGTAGTGATGGAGTGTCAGTGTAAACTGCACAAATGCTGAAGGAAGATGTTCTGCCCAGTTCAGTAATTGGAAGTCATAATTTGAATTAAAGCTGCATATTGGTCATAGAAATCTTCCAGCACTCTGTAAAGTTTCTGTTTAAACACAACCTTTTCAAAAGTAAACATAAGATGTGTGCTAAGTGACAGAAAACAAAACTATATATTGATGATGCCAGCTACTACATGCAGAAACCTTTACCAGATCATTTTCAAGGAATAACTATTTGCTTATTTGTCGAGGGACACATATATGGGGATTATTCTACAACTAATGATACTAATAACAAAATAAACAATGACACCAAATGATAGAACCATAAATTTGGGCTAACCTTGTAAACTTTTGCCCCAGGTATCTCTGTTACTGATTCTTCAACATAGGGAATGTTTTGCTCTTCAAAAAATTCCTTTAATCCCAATTCGCAGACATCAGCCCCAACGATGTTATGTCCCATATCGGCCAACCTGTGATTACCCAAAATGTGACTATTATCTAGGGCTCGAAAAACTAGTCCCACATGTTTTCATACAAACAAGAATATTGGGCATTTCTAAGCAATAGATAATATACCTTTTATTGGTTTTCTGTTGCAGTGTATCAAGAAAGTCATGAGTTTACTTGTGGAAAATCTGAGTGAATCCGTCCATTCAGACTAATTTAATATACCTTAAAATCTGTGAAAAATAGTTTTTGTAAAAGAGTGAAACACTGCCCTAAGGAGGAGGTTGATTGTAGCTCCCTCACCAGATGAACCCTGGCTATACGCCATCTTGGCAAGCAGTGGAGCCCTAGCAAGAGACCATCCATGCACACAGGCTCCATTCTTCTCTGGAAGGCTCTCTGCTGTCTATGTAACCAACTGGTGCCTTAGATTATGTGGCCTTCGATAAATACACAGAATGTAATGAATATAATGTAGAACTGTTAAAGTAATTAGAATGTTTAGAACATGTCTAATGGGAATACACTGGTATACCATTTCATATCCACTGCTTTTCCACATAGAGGAAAGAAAATGTTGAGCTTCTCCTTGCCACTTATCATTTCATTTAGGAATTCTTCAAATAACCTGAAAACAAGTAAAAAAACACCATTAAAAATGTATGAATTAAACTAGTTAAAGCAGATTTCCTGCTTACAACCTGTTTTTCAAAACAACAACCAGAACGACCACTTTCAAAAGTTTGTATATGTTGTTAAACACATAAAGCTGTAATAAGGTCTAAAATCACATTTTCACAAGAAACCCATTTGTTATTGTCCTTTGCAAATCGATTCAATCCTTACATATGCTACTCAAAAGTAAAAACAATTAAATGCACAGTCCATCAATGTGCTGTTTGTGAGAAATAACATTTGTTACATGGTCAGAATGAAGGCAGAAGAGACATTGCTTTGGTGAAGCTTCAACTATTTACATGCAGGTTGAATGCCAACAATGATGTGGATGCCAGAGTGAATGAACAGTATATAAAAAGATAACTGCTGCATCTATTAACCCCTTGCTGCTGGTGGTACACATATATATGTGGTAGCATTGACTGGGCATAAAGCTGTGCTGCCAAATATATGGTACTTTTGTTTGTGCTGAGACCACGCTAGATTCCATTGCTCCAGCATTGAGACCAAGCTGTCATCGACAGCTCCTCGTCTTAGACTTACAATTGGGAACTGGAAAGAGGGGCTCCAGATCAAATGATCACTGTGATAGCCAGTCACGGTGATCACTAGTTTCAGAAGCCCATGTATCGCTTTCTCCTCTGTGAGGAGAAAAATATATGTTGTATCTTTGCAGACGCTCCCTAAAAGTCAAAGTCTTTTAATAACAACTAAGGACTGTTCTATTATGGGTAAAAAAAAAAAATGCACACGTGGTATCTGCATGCATGTCAGGAATAGGAGAATGTATTTGCTGCTGTTTTCGTGGTGGGTGAAAGTAATCTAGTAGTAATTTAAATTAGGAAATAACATTTACTACCAAAGGAACGTCCAATTTGTCCTGAAGAAAATAATTCACCTGGATACACTAGGTACTTTCAGAGATATAAACTAAAAAAATCCCAGCGCCAATCAAAGAAAGTATACAATTATGCAGCTGTGCACCAGTGAAAACCACCAATAATAAATAACACAAAAAACAGCACAAAAATTAAATACATAAAAATAATCACAAATAAATAAATGTCTGTGCAAAAATATATATATAATATTTCAAACATAAGTCCTTATTTTCCCAAAAGGATTTTCAAAACAATGTTTCAAAATGTGCTTCCACCTAATCACCACGTGAAGAATAATATTGACCGCACTCACCAGATGGAGGTGAGTAATAAGCCTCATAGGATATAAGGGATCCTATAGCCCCTCAGGAGGAACTCAAATCGCCTTCACCCTGCTTAGATACAGCAATCGACTCCACTCTACTTCTCCATGGAATCCTCAATAGTGTGCAAGGAAAGAAAGGCTACATAGTGTAATACTGCCACTCAATACCATATAAATCAATAGAATAAGGACACTCACATGTTTCAATAAAATAACAGGCCTTGTTTAATAGCCTCAAAGGCTTCAAAGGAACAAGTTTCCAAATTGTAAATATAGGGATCTCACGCTTTAAGGATCACTGTAGAGGATGACCAGCTTTCCACCTCAAAAATGGCTGCTTTAACCGCAAAAGTCGGCGTGCGTTCCAAATACCGGAAGTGACGTAGGCCAAGAAGACAGCAGACCAGAAGTGCATCAATGCATTTCGCCCCACCCACAGTTTTCACAAGTCTTGAAAACGCCCTGTGGGTGGGGCGAAATGCATTGATGCACTTCTGGTCTGCTGTCTTCTTGGCCTACGTCACTTCCGGTATTTGGAACGCACGCCGACTTTTGCGGTTAAAGCAGCCATTTTTTGAGGTGGAAAGCTGGTCATCCTCTACAGTGATCCTTAAAGCGTGAGATCCCTATATTTACAATTTGGAAACTTGTTCCTTTGAAGCCTTTGAGGCTATTAAACAAGGCCTGTTATTTTATTGAAACATGTGAGTGTCCTTATTCTATTGATTTATATGGTATTGAGTGGCAGTATTACATTACGTAGCCTTTCTTTCCTTGCACATTATTGAGGATTCCATGGAGAAGTAGAGTGGAGTCGATTGCTGTATCTAAGCAGGGTGAAGGCGATTTGAGTTCCTCCTGAGGGGCTATAGTATCCCTTATATCCTATGAGGCTTATTACTCACCTCCATCTGGTGAGTGCGGTCAATATTATTCTTCACGTGGTGATTAGGTGGAAGCACATTTTGAAACATTGTTTTGAAAATCCTTTTGGGAAAATAAGGACTTATGTTTGAAATATTATATATATATTTTTGCACAGACATTTATTTATTTGTGATTATTTTTATGTATTTAATTTTTGTGCTGTTTTTTGTGTTATTTATTATTGGTGACTTTCAGAGATATGTACAGTTTTAATAACTCCTGCCCAAGAAGCAAAACTGTGTTCAGGCCTAAAGGTTTGTTTTACCTTTGTCATTAAGGGGTCAATTATCAAGCACTGTAACAGATGACTAGAAAATAATTTATATGATAAATATCGTCAGGTGTCAAGGAATAAACATAATACGCAAAGGCAATCATATATAACAAAAACTCTTACGGATGTACATCCTTTACATGAAATCCAATTTGTCTGGTTTTCCATTTTTCCTTCCAGTCCATTTCTGTAAGAACACGGTTCTGTTTTGTTTCAGTGACGTTGGGGCAATCCGACATAGTACAGGCCTGAAAAGGAAAGAAAACAATATCCTTTAATGAAGGTACGGTAGAATTATTACTATATTTAAAACGGATGATGCCACCTGCCCATCCTTCAAGCAAGGTATACTCACACATTCACACTCCCCTGACACCACGGGGTTTATTTACTAAAGCTGGAGAGTCCAAAATCAGACTCCCTTCTGCATAGAAACCAATCAGCTTCTAACCTCAGCTTGTTCAATGAAGCTTTGGCAATGAAACCTGGAAGCTGATTGGTTTCTATGCAGAAGGGAGTCTGATTTTGGACTCTCCAGCTTTAGTAAATAAACCCCCACGAGTCCACTCTGCTTAAGCTCCTGTGTTGGATGGTGAAGGTTTACATGCCCTCCCTCATGGTGAAGGTTTACATGCCCTCCCTCATACCTAGAAGCCCAGCTTCTTCTGAGCAATTAAATGAGTAGGTGGCTAAAAAACCTGGAAGGTGGGGGGGATACTTTGTGATGGAGGAGAGGAAGGTTATCAGAAGACAGTGTTAATGGCACTGAATTGGAAAATTGACATTTAACTCTTTAAACAGAACCGGGCACAGTTTGGCTTATAAAGGAATCTGGAAAATTAGCCTTTGATTATGAATTTGAAAGCTTACCGATGAAATTTATATGCTTACCCCCTTGTTAAGTTTTAATTGTTTATCTGATGATGGTTCTGCAACTTAAACGAGAGGCTCCCTAAGCTCCAGACAGTTGTTGCCCAGTCAATTGCCTATCTTAATGCTGATATTCTGGAGTGGATTCATTAAAGGCAAAAAAGCTGTTCACTTTGCAAGGGAAGTTGAACTTTGCAAAATAATTTTCCCCAGAGCTTAGTGAAAGCGGTTAAATTTCACTTTGAGACGAACACCTAGTCACATGCAAGGAAAATAAAAAAAACATTTTGCTTGAATAAGACTGCATGATGGAAGGCAGCAGAGGTTCAGCTCATTCACTAAGCTCTGAGGAAAATTCTTTTGCAAAGTGTAACTTCCCTTAGAAAGGTAAAAGCCTATTTGCATTTAGTAAATCAATCTCACTGTCTCCTAGCATTGAGTCTAAAGTTGTCCTGAGGTAAAGTATGCTAAAGCTAAATCAGAGGGCAAAAAGAAAAATATAGCTCTGCTCCTTGGATAAACATGTGCTTTCAAATAATACATATAGGGGCAGCACAGTGGCTAAATGGTTAGCACTTCCGCCTGGCAGTACTAGGGTCATTGGTTCGAATCCCAACCACGGCACCACCTGTCTGGAGTTTGCATATTCTCCCTGTGCCGGTGTGGGTTCCTCCAGGTCCTCCCCACACACCAAAGACATGCTGGTAGGTTAATTGGATACTGTCTAAATTGGCCCTAATATGTGTACGTATGAATGTAAGTTATGGATCTTAGATCGTACACACCTTGAGGGTTAGGGACTGATGTGAATGTACAATATATATGTAAAGCACTGCATAAATTGAAAGCACTATATAAGTACCTGAAATAAATAAATAAAGAGCAAAATTAATGTGGCTGCCACTGTTAATATGTGCTAAATCAAACACAGTGTACAAAAAAAAAAACCACCATATGTAAACATTAACTGCGCATATCATAAACATAAAGCAAATTAATGTGGCTGTCCTGGTTTTATATATGCTAAATCAAACACAGTGTACCTAAAAAAAAAAAAAACAAATATGTAAACGTAAACTGCACATATCACCAACATTCAGCTTGTATTCCATCAAACTGTGACTAAAAACATAAAGTAAAAGTCCAATTAAAGCAGAACTTCACTCTCTCAATCAACATGGACAATTTTTGATCTTTTTTTTTTTACATTTATTTAGTTACTTCCTGGTTTCCATGCCTAGGCAAATGATGCCATACATCCCAAGAGTCTTCAGGAGGGGAGGGAGGGTTCTCAGCTCAGCTAATGCCTGAGCTAATGGCAGATGGATTCCAGGAAGTCAGTGCTACATGAAGCATCTGCCCTTACTCAAGATAACCACTGCTAGAAATACCATGTTTAGGTGACTATTTCTAGTGTGGTCAATAGCGCTTGTGGGGCATTCCTCTGTATAATCACCACTGCTCCGTTTTGATAGAAGACATACAGCATATAGGATGAATCCACTCAAAGGGAAGAATAACAGGAAGAAGATCTCTTAGCATAAAACCACTCCAATATGTTTATTTAATAAAAAACAAATATACACTCACATGTTTCAATGCTTTTTAAAAGTATCGGAGCAGGCAGTGGCCATCTTTTTCCTAACACACAAGCTGTTTACACTGGGTGCCGGTTTTAAAAGGCACTGAAACATGTGCGTGTATATTTATGTTATTTATTAAATAAATGTATTGGAGTGGTTTTACACTATGAGATCTTCTTTCTGTTGTTCTTCCCGTTGAGTGGATTCATCCTATATGCCTTCTGGCAAATCAGAGCGTTGGTGATTACACAAGTGCTATTGACCACACTAGAGATAGTTGGTCACCTACATATAGTGAATGATAGTCTGATAGTCCATGTGGGGCAGACAGCACTGTCAGGTGGAGCATGATACGACGTCTATATAAGAGTACTGGCACTTTTTACACATTGGGACTTTATGGACTTTTACTTTATATTTTTAGTTACAGTTGACAGAATACAAGCTGAATGTTTGTGATATGTGTAGATTAGATATGTTGTTTTTTTTTTTTTAAATCAGAGGGCAAATATAATTCTATCACGTATTAGCTTGAATTTGAAGAGAATATTCAAGATTATTGCATAAGCCCAATTGTGATTATTTTTAAAGCTGATCTATTGTAAGAACTAATTCAAAGCTCCCCTAAAACCTCATACAGACAGAGTAGCAGATCCAGCTGGAAGTGGGAATGGGTACCTGTCAAAACCTAGGTACCTGCCCCTCCCCCAATAAAAAATAGAGTGCCAAAACCTAAAGGGGGTGGGGGGAGACAGTCAAATAGAAATTCCCCTTTTGGGTGAAGTTCAGCTTTAAGTGAAACATCATATTATCTGAGCTGTGACCTTCTCTTTCAGCAAAGATCATGTGATCACATGCCTAGGCATTTTTGTTATGTGACCAGCTGCTATGGCAAACTAGAACAATACTGAACTAGGTTAAAGTTGAAGGGAAGGACCACCAAGGTGATATTCTTGGAAATATTGCCTGTGCCATGTGCAACACAGGAAAGACGGGGGGTGATTGGAGAACTGAATGCATGGCTAATGACCTGATGTAAGAGTTAAGGATTTGGGGTTCTAGGGCACTGGGCTGACTTTTCATTGGGGTACAACCTATATGCTAAAGATGGTTTGCACCTAAATGTAAAGGGGTCTGCTGTACAAGGGTAGGAGTCTTTGACTTCAAACCACCCTTAAAGGGACCGTTCTTTTCTTTGGCTCGGGGATTAATGGAAAGGAAAGAGGGAATCCAGCAGCTCTTATATGGTGGATGATCAGGAGAGTTCAAGAACCTATGTGTACTTGTTATTATAAAGCGCAATTTAATTGCTTTAAGGTGAGAGTTCTGTGAGCACTGAGGTGGCACAACCTGCATGATTTTACAGCACTTTAACAGATGGTGTTGGTTTTATGAGCACGTGAAGAAGTATATGAAGTTGTGAAGAATTTTGATATTGAATTATCTACTGTGGTGTTCATATTCGACATGGACTTGTTTATATGGACACTTAATTATTATGATTCATGCATGTTATATTTATACCTATTTTCATTGATGTTTTGATATGTATATTTCACATTAGCAGCGCAGCATTGAGTTTGTTTATTTGTATGGTTTTTAATGCTAGCATCAGTTCTTTTTTCTATTTTGTATATCAATTTATCACATTGAGGTAGCACAGGAGTTTTATCTTTGTTTTAATATCGGCATCAATGCACACAGAACAGAAATGGGATTTCTTCAAAAAGACTGTATGCAAACACACTGCAAAAATATATTCCTATGGGCAACAAGTTTAAAAGTAAAAAATAAAACCTGTGCTTACGGCCAAAGTTAAAAAAAGCTATAAATAATAAGAAAAGAGCTTTTAGAAAATATAAAAAATGAAGGAACTCTATGATCGTTTATATATTACAAACATTTGACAGAATATGTAATAAAAATGAAAACAGGGCTGCCAAAATTGTAAATGAACGACAGATTGCAAAAGATAGCAAGACAAACCCACAAAAATTCTTCAAAAACAATAATAGTAAAAAGATCAGGTCTGATCATGTAAGCCCTTTACAAAATAATCTAGAGTGGGTGACTGGAGATAAAGAGAAGGCAAATTTATTAAATACCTTTTTCAGCTCTGTGTATACAAAGGAGCATGGGGGAGCTCTTGTCCATAATAGGGATGATATTGACACAGTGTCCTTAACCACTTGCCCTCCTGAGGATTTATACCCCCCTTAATGACCAGGCCTCTTTTTTGCTACTCGGCGCTGCACTAATTCAACTGAAAATTGCGCGGTCATGCAACGCTGCACCCAAACAAAATTTACGTCCTTTTTTTCACACAAATAGAGCTTTCTTTCAGTGGTATTTGATCACCTGTGCGCTTTTTATTTTTCACGCAATAAACAAAAAAAGACCAAAATTTTGAAGAAAAAAAAACGATATTTTTTTTACTTTCAACTATAAAAAATATATAGTAAACTCAAGATTCATTATAAATTTAGGCCAAAATGTATTCTGCTACATGTTTTTGGTAAAAAAAAATCCCAATAAGTGTATATTGATTGCTTTTTGTGAACGTTATAGAGTCTACAAACTATGGTATAGATCAGCAATGGGCAAACTACGGCGGGCCGGCGGACCTTTTAATCCGGCCCGCGGAGCTAGGCTCCGCTAGGCTCCTCTCACAGTCCGCCCTGAAGACCGGTGTAGCATGAAAATCTGTCTCCTATGAGGATCTGTCCCCCTCGACGTATCTGCGCATGTGCCGGAGATCGCCGATCGGCTGCTAATGCCTGAAACTG